ACGAAAAATTCTCTATCAAAACTGTTTTTAAACTATGTCCAGTACACAAATCTGGTCCCTTACAGCTATAATGCAACACGCTCGATTTCCGGTTAAAGTCGAATAAGTTTGGCGCACTGATCTCTATATACCAACATAGGTTATTTTAAGGGGGGGGGGGAATAACGCCGATTCGTTATGAATGAAATATCTCTAAGAACATTCTCAGTAGTCAGTTATTGTTTTTTCCGCCATGTATATTCATTTTGCATGTATGGGAGAGTAGGGAGAGAAGGAGATCGCGGCAGAAAAAGAGAGGCGGGGAGATGAATAGGCGAGAATAGGACAGAAGGAGAAAAACAGAGAAAGAGAGGGAGGAGAGAGAGAGAGGGGAGAGAGAGAGAGTACGATTGAAAATATCGCAACCCGAATGTATATATACATATACATATACATATATATATATATTATATAATTAAAGTGATTACGTCACCGTAAATAGTAAAAAATAAAAATAATATTTTCATTTTTTCACAAAATATAAGTAATTCTGTTCACTTTTTATGGTTAAATTGCTGCATTATACTTCTTATTTTACTATATTGTTTAATGTGAACATACACTCGTGACGCATACATAGTCCATAGCAAGCAATTAATGTTAGGAACACTAATATCAAATCGTCCAGGTTTTTTGGAATTTTAACTAGCTGAGAAACAATCTTATCAGGTACGAATTTGACGATACGTTTAGTCCCGTTAGTTCTTACTTTTAATGTACAAAAATGGCAACAAAAATTTTACAAATTTTACCATAGAAAATTCGTGACGTAATTACTTTAAATATATATATATATATATATACTAGCAGGAGAAGATGAATAGAGATATCTACTCCTGATACATGTATAATATAAGCAGTGTTGTAAGCTCGTGTGTATATAATGATATATACCTGGTAGGTTGATGAAGGAGCCAGCGGCGCCGGTGTACGTCCAGCCGACGACAGGTATCGGGTAGCCGTCGCTCTCACATGCCAGCATCAGCTCGTCGCCAGCATCGACGACCATGTCTCCCGTCGACGAGATGACCTTGGGAGCTGCGGGAAGGGCGAGAGCAACGTATGAGGTAAAAGCTTCAGGATACTGTGCGAGGATTACGCCTCGCTAAGTTATCGTATGTGTGCGTGTGTGTGTATGAGTGAGTTTGTGCAGGCGTGCGTGCATGCGTGCGTGTGTATGTATGTCTGGGTGTGTGCTTGAGTATGTTTCTTTTTAGGGAATTTGTGCGTGTTGGTTGTGGTGTGTATGTGTGTGTGTGTGTGTGCGTGCGTGCGTGCGTGCGTGCGTGCGTGCGTGTGCGTGTGCGCACGCGCGCACACACACACATACGCACACGCACACGCACGCACGCACGCACACACGCAAGCACGCACGCGCGCGTGTGCGTATGTGTGTGTGGCGCGCGTGCGTGCTTGCGTGTGCGCGCGTGTGCGTATGTGTGTGTGGGCGCGCGTGCGTGCTTGCGTGCGTGCGTGCGTGCGTGCGCGCGTGCGTGCTTGCGTGCGTGCGTGCGTGCGTGCGTGCGTGCGTGCGTGCGTGCGTGCGTGCGTGCGTGTGTACGTACCGGCTCGGCACGGTCCCCTGCTTCTGAGCTTGATGGTCGTGTTGCTGCGGAATGACTCGGCCATCAGCTGACACAGGTTGCGGAACGTACGTCCGTCTTCGGCGCACAGCAGCTCGCTGTACTTACATACGCACGTCGCCTGCGGCTGATCATCTAAGCGCGGGTCCTCCCTGCATCCACGGATAGCATAGATAGTTTAGCAGTGAGAGAGAGAAGAGGAGGAGAGAGGTGGGGAAGAGGGGGAGTGAGAAACATAGACAGTGAGAGAAAGAGATAGCGAGGAGGGGGGAGTGAGAAAAATACATAGTGAGAGAAAGAGATAGCGAGGAAAGATGGGGAGTAAGAAAAATACTTAGTGAGAGAGAATGAAACAGAGAGAGAAGGAAAAGTGGGTAAATGAGAAAGACACAAAGAGTGAGAATGTGTGAGAGAGAGAGAGAGAGAGAGAGAGAGAGAGAGAGAAAGAGAGAGAGAGGAAAGAGTGGGAGCGATAAAGATACAGAGAGAGCGTACGTGTGACAAATATATCGCTGGGGAAATAGAGGGGTATAGTGAGAAAACTGCAGAGATACACAAAGAGGGTTAAAGGTGGAAGCGCCGAGTTAAGATGTGAAAGAGCGAGAGAAAGGGAAGGAGAGAAAGAGGGGGGGGAGACAGAGCGAAGGGGAGTGGAATATACTGAGAGAAAGTATGGCAGATAGGGTGAGAAAAATAGGGAGAGAGACGGGTACGTCGTCAATGCGAGGGAAGGCGACCAGACACACTCCCACAACGCTTAACCAAGGGAATTCTTTTATAAAACTTATGAAAATGTCAGTTCAGATTAGATCGCCAGATCATATATCGAGATGAATATTCACGATTCGTTTGAAGTAGTCGCGGGTGTGATGTGATATATATGGCATGCAGCTGACTAACCAACGGGCGTTGCTAACTATAGTTGAGATGAGCTTTATAGCCAGTATTTGAGACCGACCGCGGCGATAAAAATCGCCACGTGTGCGCCCGGCTTTAGCGAAGGGCGGCGCAGTCTCATAAACGCTCGGTCGGTTTCTGTCTGGCAGTATCATATACGATCTCTTTTTACTCACACACGCACGCACGCACGCACGCACGCACACACACAGACACACACACACACACACGCACGCACGCACGCACGCACGAACGCACGCACGCACGCTCGCACGCACGCACGCACACA